GTGTTGCAGATCTCTTCTGGGTCTATAGGACGCCAGATGTTGTCGGTGTCTGGATGGGAGCGGACGTTGTCGGGAGAAAAGGCAATGATCTCATCCTGTAGATAGGCCTTGGGAGAGAATTGACTGTGAAGGCGGGAAGGTGTAGTCATGGCAGACGCTAGTGATTCGCCAAAGACTTCCGCTTTGCCTTCATCAGTGATGACGACTCTTGTTCCGATCTTCAGTGGTTTGGTGGTAGCTGATGAGGGTTTGCCGACGCGTTGAAAGAGTTTCCAAAAGTCTTTGGGATCTGTCTCCTGATTTAGATTGGAGCAATATGTATCCCAGTAAATTTTCCTGAGCAAGGGAAAGTAACTCCTTAATTTCCTTGTTAAGGCCATTGATGATGTGCCTGAGTTCAGGGTCAAGTCTATTTCTTTTCGTACGTGGTTTTCAAAAGGAATGAGGGCATATTTCTTCACGGGACTCCATGATTATATCTTGAAGATGGGGATGACAAATAAAGAACTGTCGAAGTTTATTGATTGATACAATGAGGCAAGGCTAGACATTTGGGGACGTACAAAACTCTCTTGTGAGAGATGATTCCTTGGGTAAGGGGAGGGCACTTTTGTGCCCTTTGAGAAATGCGAGAACCCAATACTTCCATCTAGTGGCCTAGAGGAGAACTTCAAACCGAACCCTATAGGCCTATAGGGTTCCGTATAAGCCCTATAGGGAACCCTATAGGTCCTATAGGTCATATAGGGTTCCGTATAGGCACTATAGGGAACCCTATAGGTCCTATAGCGAACCCTACAGGTCCTATAGGGAACCTATAGGCCTTATGGGGAACCCTATTGGTTCTATAGGGGGATCTATAGGTTCTAAAGGGAACTCTACAGTATAGGTCCCAAACTGAACTCTATGGGCCATATAGGATCCTATAGGATTCCTTTAGGTTCCTAAAGGAATCCTATAAGACATTTTCGTAAGGGATCCGGAAACCGAAGCAGCCGAGACGCCGACGAGAAATACACTTTCGCCGCTGAGAGCTTTTTTTTTTATTCCTCACAAACTCCATATTGGCGCTGACGCATCCGGAAAGTGAGCCTTGATAACCATCGAGAAAGTTCATGAAGTGGGAGAGACCTGAGTTTTTCAACGTGATCGCCCTGTCACGGCTTCCTACTGATGCAAACGGGACAGAGCTCATTCCCTCACGGAAGATTCAATGCAGAAAATAAGGTTGGGGTCCGATTGCCGACCTGTCGGATGAAAAGGAATACGTTCACTCCGCCAGGCCTTTCAGATGAGTCAGTAATGAACAGCAATTATTTGGGAACCGATACCGAAGGACTAAAAAAAATCGGAGTTCCTAAGGGACACGGAGGGAAAAACTCAACAAAAACTTTAAATATAGTGCCCGTTCGATAATACACTTCTATGCATATCTCATGAACCGTGATGGAAACGGAGCGTTACAGCGGAAAGCGTGGGAAAACCGTACAGCAATACCGTTTTGCAGCGAAAGGCTTTCTCCCAAAACGCCCAAGGGCAGAATGGCCTCTGCGTCTTCATCGTCAAGGTCCAAGACGTCTCGTTTCGTGGAGATCGCTTCCTTTTTTTGGGATCTTCCGCATCTTCCGCATCTTCAAGCGGATGTTTCTCACCGACGAAAAGACATTTCCTTGGCCGTCCTGAAAAGTTCCCACTGTCTCCAAATCGATCTCCTCTGTCAGGAATACGCCGAAAATTGACAGGAATGTTGAGATGGATTTATGTCTTCAACCTACTCTTCCGCGGTGAAAATCTCTGGATGAAACAATTGCAGGACTTAAAATTTCGTAGCTCGCAGGCTCCAAGAAATCCACCAGAGTTCCTCTGTTTGTCCATCGAGAAATTGCAGATGTTTTTCGGGAGAGGCGATCTATGAGTTTTTTTCGGAAATCGGCGTTTACGAAGCCGTTAATGGATGGCTCAAACGCGATTCCGAGAGAAATAGACGCAGGACAGACCTGGTGAACTTTGTGAGACTTCCGTTGTTGCCATTGCGTTGCCTGCGGCAGAATCTCATTCGTGATACTGTGATCTCCAGGGATCTCCAGTGCCTCGCTCTTGTGATGGAAGAGGATTTTCACCACTCGGAACTGCGCAACTTAATCCCCGTGGAAAAAAAAAGAGCAAAGAATGGGGGAACTGGAGTCTACCGACATCCTGGCACGTAATCGTGCGTGGGGAGATACGAAGATGGAACCAAGATCGTGTCCATTGGTCCTTGGGACCGGTGATTCCAAGTTCGCACCTTTTATTCAATGGCAATACATGCACCCCCTCTCTGACCTCTACCTACGACCCTTGACCCTCGTCGACTCTTGCCTCTCGGCCTCTTCATCTCTCGCTCTCCCCCGATCTTCAGTGGTTTGGTGGTAGCTGATGAGGGTTTGCCGACGCGTTGAAAGAGTTTCCAAAAGTCTTTGGGATCTGTCTCCTGATTTAGATTGGAGCAATATGTATCCCAGTAAATTTTCCTGAGCAAGGGAAAGTAACTCCTTAATTTCCTTGTTAAGGCCATTGATGATGTGCCTGAGTTCAGGGTCAAGTCTATTTCTTTTCGTACGTGGTTTTCAAAAGGAATGAGGGCATATTTCTTCACGGGACTCCATGATTATATCTTGAAGATGGGGATGACAAATAAAGAACTGTCGAAGTTTATTGATTGATACAATGAGGCAAGGCTAGACATTTGGGGACGTACAAAACTCTCTTGTGAGAGATGATTCCTTGGGTAAGGGGAGGGCACTTTTGTGCCCTTTGAGAAATGCGAGAACCCAATACTTCCATCTAGTGGCCTAGAGGAGAACTTCAAACCGAACCCTATAGGCCTATAGGGTTCCGTATAAGCCCTATAGGGAACCCTATAGGTCCTATAGGTCATNGTTGACGTTAGGTACTAGACAGTAAGCAACTAGGATAGTAAAAAAAATATATATATATATTTAGCTTTAAGAGGGTTAGGCCTACCCAAAAATTAAGGCACGCTCGATCTCGACACGTGAACCTTTCGCTGCAAAACGGTATTGCTGTACGGTTTTCTCACGCTTTCCGCTGTAACGCTCCGTTTCCATCACGGTTCATGAGATATGCATAGAAGTGTATTATCGAACGGGCACTATATTTAAAGTCTTTGTAGAATTTTTCCCTCCGTTTCAGGTGCCAGCTGGCCCGGGGGGTGGGGTTCTCATCAGGCGACCTGGTGTTTTCGTTACTCTTCCCTGTATCGCAAAGGTCCGGTTAAGCCTGGTCAGAGATCTGTCGCTTGTCTACGAAGTCCGTCACTCTTCATTGAACCTAAAAAGCCTAAACCTAAAAAATTGAAGATGGTTTAATTACTGATCGGACCATTTGAGTTTTTCTGAGATCGCCCCGGCACCTAATAGCCTACGGCACGGCTAAAACTATTGATATTCCGAGGCCAGGCGGCTGGATCAGACCAGGAAACCGTCACATCACTAAAACGTTCCTGCGTAAAAAGACTTTATTCGCCTCCCACCCTTTACCACTCTTCGCTCGAAACAAGGGTCCAGTATAGGCCCAGCATCGCTCTTCAACTTCAGTTTCTCATTCCGCATTTTGCAATTGGACCCAGTTCCGTTGATAGCAGTGGACCTCCTAATAATTAGAGAGCATTTCGCTAGACGATTAGATGTAGGCCTACGCATCAACGAAGTACAAGCGCATACCAAATATGCGTTCCATGGTGACAATCTTATCAGCTCGTGCAGGGAGACGTCTGTTAGATGTTCTCGAGGTTGTCCATGGAATCTCGCCGGGGGAACGGAGTCAGAAACGGTCCCATGCATCAGGAAGGCCACTCTCTGGGTCATGATGTCAACGCAACGCAGTACACTCTATGGGAGAAAAAGGGAGATATAAGTTCTTTAGGAAAACAAAAGATGTCAGGAGTGAAGCGGCTGGGTGGTGCAATGATGCCAGATAGCGTACAGGTGCTTCAAGGGGCTGTTATGAAAATTTGAGCACATTTTCCCCCATGTTGTAAATGAAAATCATTTTTTGTGGAAAAACATTATCACGGTATGCCAATCGGAAGATATTTTAATCATTCAAGTAGAAAGATTTTGAAGAAACGGTATGACATTTCACAACAGTGGTATGATGCCCACGAAACAGTAATGGAGGGGGCGGCCCTTTGAATGGAATATTCCTCTTAGAATGTCCTCGGATCTTGAGGCCGGTGAGTCAGAATCTAATCAATACGTGATTGATTGAAGGACCAAAAATCCAAACCCAAAATATTCAAGAGCATTATAAGTTTGTTTTCCGACGCGACAGAGGAAGAAGGACTTTCTCGCCATAAAGCTATATCTTTAGGCCTAAGCCCATGAACGAAACCTGTCTCAGCTGGCTTTCCGCGAACGTAGGGGCTTAAATAAACTGCCGTTCTTCTCCAACATCAAGGCCTATGCTAAGTGTACCCTAGCCGTACACTCAACGACTTTAAACTTCAAAATTGTATTGATTCTGATGGGCCTGTATACTTAAAAGTTAGGCCTACGTTAGGGGCAACTTGATGCCAACGATTGAAGTTTAGTTTTCCTACTTCTTTTGATTTGAGATTTCTATTAGGAGGTTTAGCTGCCTATTGCCTGAGTTCAGGCATAAGTTTATGTGATTTCAATTTCCCCAGGACCCTCTGAGGGTGGGCCCAGTGGTCTGACCCCGGGCGAGGACCCCTCGGTTCAGATGGAATCATCAGACGCGATATTGGGCAAAGATGAAGCCTTGGAGCGGTTGATGACTTCGTCCGAACTTCTGGCCTACCAGGAGGAACTCCAGAGAACTACGCCGGAATTCGACGAAACCATTCCCAACAAGAAGACAGATTCTCAGGATTCTGGATTTTCAGAGGGTTCTTCCTTGCCTTCCTCTCAGGCTGGACATGTAGAAGAACAGTCAAGTAAGATATTCCTTTATAAATTGCATAGATATCATGAATTTTAGAAATTTGATCCAAAACTTGAATTTCAAAATGTTGGATTATTTGAGTGGATTGAAACTTGCTGTCGCCCTTTTGTAGCATGTGGGGATGGAAGCCACTGGATATAATTGTTTTTAGTATTCTTTTGCCAAGTTTGGATATATGAGTTGATTTCATGTTTTATGATGGTCAGTTTCCAATAGCTTCATTCATAATTTGGCCATTTGAGCTGAGTGTCAAGCCTAAAGACTGGGTGATTTTTGTCCAATGCTTTCTTTTAATCTTAAAATTTTCCTTAATTCCTGCTTAAGTCATGTAATCCATCTCCACTGCTGGCCTTTATTGTGACTTGTGTCCTTGGTGAATAGAACCCAGTTGCCTTGGACTTTTGAAGGTTGTCTACCTGTTGCCATCTTCTTGTTTGGTGATTGCTGATGTGATTCAATTAGGAGTTTCATGAGCCCTGCATTAAGAATGGAATTCTTTTCTTAAGCAGGTGAGACTGTTGAGGGAGAAATTACTCCAGTGACAACAGCAATCACAAGTACTGAGACGGCAGCTGCTACAGGGAATATCCCACAAACTGTAACCACTTCTGCCAAGCTCAAACCAGTAGGTGTGCAGATAGTCACCAGACCATCTGCTTCTGGTGCAGCAGAAGTAATCTTTGTGAAGCAGGATGGAAAGGAATCCAACTCTGGAGTGGCACAGTTTGCATCAATGGGACATGAGGTGCCGGTTTCAGGATCTGGGGCATTCATTCCGCAGGGGAGATATGTGGCAGTCCCACTTGTTCCCTTGAGGCGCTCAGCCTCTGCTGCTCAACCTTCAACCACATCAAGTTCTCAAGTATGTATATAAACTCAAAATACATTTTGAATTTCAGCATTCTCTTTAATAATGATGCCAGAAGATATGCATTTAGGAAATGCATTTTAAACCTCCTCATTTACCTATTTTTAAGTTTTAAATTGCTCTAATGTTTAAACAGTGGATAACTTTTTGTTGTTGTCAAAGCTTAGCATAGGAAGCCCTTAAAGGACATTATGTGCCACACAGGACAGGAGCCTAAGAGTATTAAAGTAGGAATTTTCCTTGTATGACTATGACTTGGATGCTTCACAAGTACAGTGTTCACTTTTAGCAAGAATATGAGTCCATAGTACTGAAGTTTAAATTTCAGCTCTCAGCTCTTGGCAATGCTACCTTTTTCAAACATTTCTTTAACCCTTTGAAGAGTATGCCCATATATTTATGGGTTGAGGTTTTCATGCACTGTAGTATGCCTGTATATTTATGGTTCGGTTTAAACATGACAGCTTCTGCTGTCTATCTGCAAGTCAAGGAACTTTAATGAGTCACACTAGGCCTCAATTTAGGTGGCAAAATGCATTTATTATTTACACAGGGTATAGCTGATCAGTGAGCTATTAGCCATGGCGTCAAGAAGAAAGCAAACGTACGACAATAGCAGCAATCCAAGGGAGGAATTAAATGTAATTTCGCAACATTGGGTATATATTGTTTATACAGAAGGAGGCTATGTGATGAACAATAAGAGATCTAGATTGGATAAAATTTGATAAGGATTTTAAGTTGATCCATATACCTGGCAGGTATGGTGGAAAACTATCCTTAGTCATCACTTTATTTGCATTTGAAAACATAAAACTTGGGCAATGTGTTTTCATTGGACAGAATTTTTGTTGGAAGGTAGTTGAAAAAGGTGAATGGTAAGATTTTGCATGTCTACCTCAGCAATTACTACATAATTAAGATTAAAATTGCATAAATCAGTACTGTTTCTATCAAATTCATTTAATGGATCACTCAAAAGTTAAATTAAACCTGATATTTTAATTTGATCAAATTCCAATAAGTCTACACAAATGTTGCAACTGAACCTTTCTAAGCATACTTCGGAACATATTTTAAAAATAAACAAAAGGTTTTATCCTGGACATTGCCTTTGAAAAATCAAACTATGCTATTATAGAAAAGCCAACGAATTGCCAAAAAAACTCACTCCTCAACTGGTTAAGGAGAGGTCCACTTGTTCTGTATTCATAGCCGGTGAAGAAGATGATCATAGCAGGTAACCTGAGTGGTACAGCTCAAGCCATTCCTACCAAAGGGGTGTCCATTCTCTCTCCAGTGAAGAACCAAGAAGGCCATAAGGTATGCCCTTTCCCTTCAGATTTTTGGCAATGTGCATTGCATTCATTGGAAACATAGAAAGACTACATAGTGCTTTTGAATAATCAGGGGAAGGGTGGAGTGCAAGGGAAGAAGGTGCAGGAGGGAACACGGTTGGTGATGGCCTCACCTATGAAGAGTGTCATGGCACCAATGCAACTGGTGGCATCACGGGGGCAGCCCACAGTCGTTTCTCTTCCCACCACCTCAACTGCAACAACCAAAGTCATCTTCAATGTGAGGCTGAATGTGGGGTCCCTAAAAAGGGAATATGACAAATTTTTGTATTATTTGGATTTAATAACTAAGTATCAGAATGTTCTTCAGTATCTGCAAAAACTGAGTGAGGTAGGCATCCCAGTATGCCTGCTTCTCTCATGTTTTATGATTGAACTATTCTGAGACACATAGGCACCAATTTCTGAGTCTTTAAACTATACGTTCAATGACTCAAAAATTGGTTGGCTTTTTTGGTGTAGACCCTCCCATCTCTTAACAATTAACAATTTTTTCCTTTTAATTTCAGTGTTATTTGTGTGGGACATGAATGGTGAATCATTCATTCATTAATTGCCATCCATAAGAGGAAAATTTGGTGACAGGTTTTAGTACTGGACTGTATCCTTATCCGCAATCTAAGTGCATTGTGTTGATTTTCTTTTTGTTAAATAACAGGTGGATGGAGGAGATCCAAAGCTGAAGGGCCAAACGGGGTTTCAGCCTTTCCTCACAGCTGCCCAGCTGGGTATTCCTCAACAAGGTATCACCCATGGCAAGGTACCCTTTTCATTTGTAGTTTCTTCCTAGCCTTTCCCCAGTTTTGCCAACTCGGATTCATCATTCCACGTTACCATACTTTCAAATCAAGGTGCAGTTTTTGAGAGTGGTGTCAGCACCAGGGACCACACAGACGATTCTGTCTCCTGCTCAGCAGTCATTGGAAGTTCTTCCAATCATATCCCAGGGATCTACTTTCAAAATCCCCTCTCATCCTCAGCAGGTAGGTTCCTATTTTTCAGCCATATTTTAAATAGACCTGCCTGTTTTGTCAGAAGCTCCATCTTCTCAGAGGTGTTCTGTTGAAATTGAGTTTCCTTTTTCCTCTAAAGAAATGAGTCTCCACTAGCAATAGGATACTTTCTGTTACCCTGAGGCTTTCATGTGTTTTACACATGAAAGCACAAAGTAAAATTTACACCACAGGGGAAAAATTCTTGACCTACACATGAAAAGCTTTATAGATCATTTCAAATGTTGGTATTTCAAAACAATCCATCCAGTAACAGACTTATGAAATTTTGTCATTTACTAACTGAAAGAAATGCACTTAAACTTGGTTTATGTTCATCCTCCATTTATCTATTTTACTAGGGTCTGTTGAAGGCAGTGAGTGCAGTCGGATCGACTCAACGGGTTCTTGTCCCCTTCACAACAGTGACGCAGCCAAAACCCCTTGCACCCCGACAGACACCAACGTCCTCTACAGTTGCTTTCTCCACTCTCTCTTTGGCATCCCCATCCCAGCATCAAACTTCTGTTCCTGTCACTGTGGGTCAATTCTCATTTTCACTTGCATTTAATTACCCCTGAATCAGTGTTCTGGTACCAGTACCCCAAGGATTTGTTATTTATTGTGCATTTATTGTGAGGACATTCAGAAAGTGTTCTAATTCTGTAATGCATCTATTAGAAGTCAGAGAAGTCTTTGCCTTTCTAGGCCAGGTCTCATAGTAAGAAAAGATTGGAGAAAGAGGGAAAAATTCCTCTTGTTTCTACATTTGATTACAGTGATTCAAATTGAATCCTGAAAGTGCAGTGAACTCATAATTCTAGATTTAGAGAGCAGATGAATTTTGTCTGGATTACTGAAAGCCTGAGTGCCCACTTTCCTTTCAACTGTTGTAACATGAAGAAAGTTCCTGTTTGTGTACTTCAGTATGCCTTAACTCCTTGACAGGTACTGGTGTCTGCCATGAATCTCTTTGACATGGTGCTGACATGTATGTTCCTCAGTGGGTCATTGCCTGTAAAGCATGCTCCAATGTTTTTGTGACCCTTCACTTTCCTGTGAAATAAGATTAGTATTCAATCAGCTGATATTTTTATCAAGGAATGTCCTCTTGACAAATATGGCATCTCCCAAGAAAAGTAGAATTGTTGCCTCAGACAAAATGGCAAAGTAAATTCTCAGTAGTGAGTATCAGCAAATAGTGATGAAGACAAAAGCAGCAATGCCTAAATATTGTAGTTATCTGATGCAGATAGTGCATATGAGGACAGTGATTGGAATTAAGGTACAAGTACTCCTGCAGCAAAGAAGAAGAAAATGAATGATCTGGTTTGGAAAGAGAAAGCAGCTAAACTTGTATGCAAGGACTACTCAGTGAACAAAGTAGAATTACAGTAGTTGAAGCCAAATAAGTATGCTGCTTCTTACAGCCTGTTCTTACAGTTCTTACACTGTCTCTGGTCTGTTGAAAAAAATCCACCCAAACAGTGCAGGCAATGCTTACAAACCCACCTGTCAAAAGGTTAATTTGTTCCCCTTTTTCATGTTTGGGGGTGTCAATTCAGTCAATTTTTCCTGCTGAAAATGTCCTGAATATAATTTTTGCCTGCCTTGTGTAAAATTTTATTCTAGGAATAAATAATTTTAAGATAATGAATGCATCACCCACATCTCCAGCACTGACTTACAATTTCGAGGGATCAAAGGCCTTGCATGATTTATTTTCCTTACCTACATATCAGAGATTGTTTGAGATTAAATCTTTTTGACACCCCATTTGTAAAAATAGACATGAACTAGGGGAGCAATATGGGAAGTTGTAAAGCTGCTAACTAGGAGGGGTAGTCATTGATGAAATGCCATACCCACTCCTCTTAACTGTTGTTAGCTGAGTAGCTTTCAAGTCCTCACTGCTCTTCATCTTTCACATTCCACTGTCAAATGACAGTCATGTGATGGCATGAAAGGTGTAAGGTGTATCCAACAGACAATTAGAACCAATGAAGAGGATCCAGAACATTCTACATTTGACATAACTAATTTCTGGCGCCCTTCCATTTTAGCTGCTTAAACCCTTGAAATGCACCCCAGTCATAGTCTAAGCTCAACTATATTACTTTCTACATTAAGTGCTTGAAGCCCTGTTGTCATCTTCAGCACCTAATGCCATGCTTTCACTCAATTACTCCCTAGCATAAATATGTAATACCAAATGGAGTGATAGCAAACATCTGGAGAACACCATTCTATCAATTAAATTTTGTGAATTAATACCTTTCTTCTTGAGGCCTTGTTTGTTGACAGTGCTGTTTGCTGCATTTCAACAGGTGAAAGAGGAGCCAGATGCCGGAGGGATGGAGGTGGATGGGGAGACAATATTGGGGATCACAGATGGAGGGAAAGAGTCTGAAATTCAGTCATCTGATGTTTTGTCATCAGGAGGAGACATCTCTCTAGTCCCTGTTCCTCAGACAGAGCAGGAACAAGAAGCAACTTCGGGGCATCCACACTCAGGTCACCTTTTCCGCCCACGGAAGGTGTGCAATTGCACAAAGTCACGCTGCCTCAAGTTGTGAGTCCTGAGAAGTAACCTACGGTGCTATTTTTGTGCAGTTACATTTCCATATTCTAACTTTGTCTCATTTTGGCAGATATTGTGAGTGCTTTGCAAGTGGAGAATTCTGCACATACTGCAACTGCCTCAACTGTGCCAACAATATTGAGCATGAGGATGAACGACATCGTGCCATCTCCATGTGTCTGGAGAGGAATCCCCAGGCATTCAAGCCCAAGATTGGAAAGGCGATGATTGGAGAGGGCCATGAGCGTGTTCACACCAAGGGATGCCACTGCAAGCGATCTGGGTGCCTCAAGAACTATTGCGAGTGCTTTGAGGTCTGCTGCTACTCCCAAAGGGTTTATCATTGCTTTCAAGAGCTATCTTAGTGTTATAACCTTCAATGTGAATTGGTGTTATGTTTTTTGCAGCCTTTGTAGTTGTAGATTCAGAGCTTTCTGAACCACTTTGCTGCACTGAGGCAAAATGAACTCCAAAATCTCTAAAAGTGAACAATTTATGCCTAATTCTTTGTAAATTGTTTTATACAGCATGAAACTTAAGACATTGTGTGGAGGTAGACAGCAAAAATTAACTGCAGCATCCATCATCTTTGTCTCATGAGATGGGTGGTGTCACTCTGGTAAAGCAAGAATAGCCAATTTGCTTTCAAGGAATGCTATGTTTTTTAGCAGTTCCTATGAAGTTTGGTTCCAGATCCTCCTGAATAACATCACCTCACTTGAGTATGGCCTGGCCCTTCTAATGGTGTGCCTTCACTGCCTATGTTGCCTTGCCTAGATACTTTTGGCTTTGTTAAAAATAGGATTGGGCCTTTTGTCAGGGTGGTGAATGTCTCCATCTGACTTGGGCCTCTGCCCTCTAACATTTGAACATTTTTTATTTTGATAACTTTTTACGTGCAAATGTGGTGAGGGTGGTAAATAATAAAAATAATTAATTCAGGTTGTGTTACTTGACAATTCAAATTTTAGGAGACTCATGACTCACTAGATGCACTGCAGGGGCCATCATATTCCAAAGGAAGTGAAGGATGCAAGCAGTTAGCATGCATTTGCTGGTGACAATTTGCCTTTATTAATAGAATGGTGTGAGAGCAGTTTAGACTCTGCCATATCACTAAATTTTGCCTATTTCATATTCAACTTCAGTTTTCTGGCATCTTGTGGAAACTGAGATATAAATATGCATCATTTAACCTGGATATTACCCATCAGGAAGGACATTTCAGTTGTTCATGTATTTGTAGTAGATTAAGTTTGGTAGTGTTGGTTAAACTTACATTGTTCTATCAGTCTAAATTAACTTTACACTCTTACAATATAATGGTAGGCAGGGGTAAAATGTAGAAGGATCGTGTGTCATAGGTGTCATCTCCCAGAGAAGTTTATAAATTACTACCTTCAAGTAATGGTGGTGAATAATTGCATCACCTGCATGTTGAAGCATTATTGTCTGCCGTTAATACTCTTCTCCCTAATGTGTTTATGAACTGGCTAGGACATTTTATTTCTTATTTGGGATTTTAAAAAATTTGCTTATTTCTTTTGAGGAATGTCAGTTCTACACTACATTTAAAACCATGATTGAAAAATCAATTTTATTCAGTAGTTTATGTGTTATCTCTATTTTATCAATGTTCTGGAAGGAAGTAAGCTTGAGTATGATGAAAAGTCATGTTTGGATAACTGGAAAGACTGAATAGTGGAATACTTCAGAAATGTTAAATCGTGTTTCAAGTCCATTCCAAGCATAACTGTTTTTGTTTTTTCCCTTTTGCAACAGCACTTCATCCTTTAGAGAAGCCTAAATGCTGTTAATATGATTTTAATGAGAAATACCTGCTATTGATGCAAGTTTTGCTGTATCTCTAGGCAAAGATCCTGTGCTCAGCCATCTGCAAGTGTGTGGGGTGTCGGAACCAGGAGGACGAGCTGGGGTCTCAGCGTCGCATGCTGTTAGACCTGGCCGAGGCAGCGGAAGTGAAGCGACAGGAGAGAGCCTCTGTGAAGTGCCGCCTCTTTCAGGACAAGGCTTCTGTCCCACGTGCTGTCTCCATTTCCACAAACCTCTACAGCATCAACATGCCTGACACGTATGCCTCTCAATAGTACTTCTGTAACTTTGACTATTGCCTCATGTTGTTTGTCTAGATTCAGATACCCATAATTGCCAGTTTATATTTAAATTTGAGTCGGCACCTGTTAAACTAACCTAAAATTTGGAGAGTTCATATACTATGGGGAAAATATTGAACCTTGCAAGTAAATGATAAAAGGTAATTTAAAAAAAAGTGGTGTTTATCAAACATATAACCTGGAACAAAGCAGCATCATAAACTAGTGCGTTTTCATGAGCCCCGACCTAAAGTACTTTGACCTGAAATTTGAGCAGACAGTTTAAAATTAAACATTGCAGAGTTTTTATTTTTTTTCATGTGGCCATTCCAGGCTGACCACTGCCCACTTAAGGCAGACCAAAGTATCCATACAGCCCTTGTCTCAAAAAGTTTGGGAACCACTTGTCTAAACTAGTGATTCTGAAACCTTTCCAGACTGTGGATCACTCATATGCTCTCTTTTCATGAACCCACTCAGCTGATAAAAAAAAAACTTAACTTGTGGACATTTCTAACATATACCCTACCGTTCCCTCTCCCAACTTGTTTGCTTGGCTTGGTCCACCCTTGTAATGTATTAACTGTAGGAGTTTCTGACTTAAAACAAGGTAAATACAAGCATTACATGGCGTCTGATGAATTTTCCAAATAAGAACCTGAGACAGTTCACCACTCAAGTTCATCATATTTAGTAGGTAAATAAATTCAAATTTTCTGAATTGGAAGGATCTGTATAAATGCAATGAAGAGATTTCTGCACTGAACAGAATTTTGTACCATTAATTTGTAGGTTTAATATGAAAAATCAAATTTTCAAGCTTTTACAAAACCTAGTACAAGAAGAAAAAGCAGAAAAAGTAGTTGTGATTTACAATTGATTTGATGCTGTGAAACAAGAGTAAGCCCTCATGTGACAGGTGGACACAGACACCAGTGTCTCACTGATGAACTCAGATTTCGTTTTCTTCAGTCTTCAGCATCAGAAATGAAAGTCATTCATAGGTTTTGCAGAACTGATCTCTTTTCATTACACATGTCATTGTTCCAGACCTTGACACCAATATGCAGCTGGATTGGATATTGATGAGAGTAGTGGATGAGCTGGATGTTGGATTGTTACAAATATGTATTGTCTAACTAGTAACAATGGAGGAACTTGACTATATACTTCACTACATTTTGCCTTTCTGTCTACCCTGGGCAACGATGAATATGTTCATAATGTGAGGAGTAAATAATGGAAATGGTTGATTGAGGTATCATACTGTAAAATGCTATTGTATGCAGTTGTAATGGCATGGAAAAATTCTTACTGAGTTGATGCTTTGAAATTCTGACACCCTAGAGCCTTGACCAAAATGCATTTGCACATAGACTTATGATTTGAATGTGTGAAATTTCTTTGCAAGGGGCTTAATTAAGCTTCAGCCTCTCTTCTTGTGATCATTGGATTACTGAAGCCCTCCATCTCAAATGAAAATCCAGTTCTTATTTTACATACACATGGAGATGTGGTTATGCTTCTTAAGAGAAGTAATTATTGTTCGTGCATCAGTTTTGACTAGGTTGAGAAGCCCCAAATGAAGTGATGTGATTTTATACACTGCATTGAACACAGTTGCTGTTATCTGGGATTGACAGTTCCAAGAAGCATTTCAAGGCTCCTAGTGGGAATTTGAAAGCATTTGTTTTGTTATGCAGGAGGGGACCCTGGGAATGCATCACAGCAGATGTGATTGAAGCAACGGTGCAGTGCATGCTGGCCGAGGCACAGGAGGCTGAGAACCGTGGCGATTCCCCTGCTGATGTTGAGGCAACCATCCTTGGGGAGTTTGGCCGTTGCCTCAATCAGATCATTGACCATTCACGGAAAATGCGAGACACACCCCCCCTCTCGTCCTCGTGAGACCCGCGTATCATTCACCCCCAGACACTAATGATATGTGGTGGCAGTGATGGGAACCATCTGTATGGAGTGTGGTCTTCTTGGATGTGCAGATGATGTCTCTGGAAGGTTATGTTCCCTGTGTACTGTGCTCAGTGCTTGTTGATCTCATGCTGCCTCCAATAGTAATGTACAAAGAAGCAGGACTCGGTGCTATGCACCACATCAGCTTATAAACTTTTCTGACCTCATATTCAGAATCTGTTTAATTGTATGGGAATCTGTTTGACGCAGTTAATCTCATTCCCATGTTCTCCGATATTGAGATTAGATAAGATTAAATTTATATTGATCTGGTGCACCCGCAACCAGTATGACAATGCAATCCTCAAATAGCTTTCTACATTTTCTTTTTGCTATGCCCATCTTATCATATAAAGGTGAAAGATACAGTGCTGCATGAACTTTCCTCTGTGGGTTATTCCTTGGAACACTAGTGAAAGACTTCAGGTAATACATCAGATATGGATGACACCCTTGACGATGATGTGGAAGTTTCCCCCAATGTCTACTCTGGAGCCACGTAGTTTGAGGTTTAGATCGCCACCTCTCTTCGAGCACTGATGTGCATGCATCACCTGTTTTCCCTTCAGCTTCTCTGACCAGTATGGGGCCAGGATAGTGTGAGCAGAACCTGGAGGGAATATAGACAGGGAATCCTTTTCATTATGGTTGCATTTCTGTCTTTTGTATCAATCATACTGCTGCTGGTCTTAGTGCTTTGCACTCTTGGGTAGGGATTCACAAAGCTTTTATAATGCCAAAAACATTTTCATTTTGATCATGTTATGTATGGGGAAAAGGCGGAATGTGGAATTGTGAAACATCCTGGAATAATTGAAAGGCTTAAAGGTCAAGTGGTCTAACTGCAAAAAGTTATTTCCTTGAACTCCACATGAAAAGAATGCTCCAGTGACAATCTTGTTAAAAGTGAGGAAAAGTGGTACATATTGAAAGATCTGTACTTTTTCTTTTTACAGAATTAAAAAAATATGTATCATTTTCTACGAAAGGAAAAAGGTTCACTGTTTCAATCATACCACACATGGCTTTGTGAATCCCTACCCTGCATCACATTCAATGCTGCTGAAAATTGAAAACATATATTTCAGCTAGGGGACTGTACTAGGGGAACTAACCAGTTACAGGGTCTTCAAGGATCCCATTCCAGGGTGCAAAGTATCTGGAGAAGAAATCATATCCTCCCGATGCCTCTGAGCCTCCTTTCACAGTCACAATGACTCCCTTGAACAGGCTCCCATCATGTAAATTCATCAACTTCTCCCCAGACACCTCCAGCTCCTCCAACATCGTCCTGTGAAAATTCAGCAGTCTTGGCCTTAAGTTTCTTTCTAGACTTGATCTCATCACCATCATGCCTCCTTTATGCTAGTATACTTTCATGACTTATACCAATTTCCATGCTTCTAAGGAACCATTCCTCATGTATGAGTCCATGAGTCCATTAGAGCCAGAAACTATTACCAAATTCAGTTTCCTTACAATCGGAGTTAAGCTATGGAGTGAAAAAAGGCGCACCATATTTTTTTAAATAGATAATTGTATTCAGGGAAGCAAGTATTCCTAATATAACTGTCTTGATAGAGTTGGATGATCAAAGAGAAATCGCTTCGACTTATATGCATGGATATATGCATATCCCCCCCACCCCCAAAAAAAAGCAAGAGACTGGTGAGAGTTGGACTGCACAGTACAGAGGTAAGCAGTGACCACGACGCGCATCTGCGGTCACGCTCCATGAAATGAGAACTGGAGCTCATGACTTGTGTGAAGTTGTTTGGTTTACTTGGATAAACCCTTTCCACTAATTGCAGCTTGATTGAACCGATATTGTCCAAGCTAAATTGGTAGGTGATGAAGGTAATGTAGTTGCTCTAACAATTGATCTGAAGTTCCAGCTCGTGCTCTTGATGTGGTAGACACATGTCTCAAAACTAGGGAAAGGTAACTGCTACTATGTCTTTGATAATGCAAAGCACTTAGTATTATCATCTGAGGAACTGAATTCTAATACCCCAGAATTAATCCACCTGGAACTATCGATTATAAAGATTCGAACGACGATTTTCTTCTGAGAACGTTGTACTTTGTTAGAATACGGCAGAAGTTTTGCAGATTAGTCTATGCTTTTTTTTATTTGTCTCATTGAACGTATCGAGTACCCCCTTCCCCCTCTTGTCAGAAGAGAAACCCCTACGGACCGTGAGCAGAAATCCTCAAGCCGAACGAGGAGCTTCTTGGTCACAGGACAGTAGGCGGTGTCGGCTGGGAGGAGATCCTTGAGAATCCCCTTGATCAAGGGTTGGGCGTCTTTCTTCTGCTTGGCATCCAGTTGCATGGGTTTGTAGGAAGGGAAGTCCATGACGATCATCCTTCCTTGTTTCCTCACCCCCAGAATGCCACTCATCGTCTCAAACTCTATCTTCTCGTTCGGGTTATCTGGGAATTCAGCATGCAACCAGGGAGTAGGAATCATTCCATTATGGAAGGAAAAAAGGATGGAGTTGATGAGATGGGACGTGCATACTGCAGCAAAAGAAGAGGACTGCAGCGGCAGCGACGGTGGCATGTCCGCAGAGGGGGACCTCGTTGGTGGGCGTGAACCAGCGGAGGCTGAACTTGGAGCCAGTGTCGAATCCGTCCTGGAGCCGGATCTTCGTCACGATCGCCGTCTCGGAGAGATTGAACTCCGCTGCCATGCTCTGCTTCGCATGGTCTGGGATGTCCTACCAGCGACCAGATGGGAAATGCGAAAGCGTTAGACGAAGGTGGAGGGAGTGGGGTGGTCGTCGGGAATCGAACTCGCGTCCTTACCTGCCGTCCTTCGACCAGACACACGGCAGCAGGGTTGCCAGAAAACGGTTGTCCCGTAAATGCGTCCACGATGAAGACTGGCAGTGATACTCCCAGTTTTGATCTGCCCTGGTCCGACTGCATCTTCTATAACTCTACAGGAGACAGAATTTATTGTGTCATAAATCTATGAACAAGGCAAAATAGACTTCAAGGCCATATCTGGAAACACGAATGGCCGACATCTCGCTTCTTTGGTCTCTCCATCCGATTTGCAGCTTGGAATCTGGACAGGTGTATACCACAAGCGATCGCTTGAAATTTACTCTCAATTGAATTAATTGTACCCCGTTCGCCTGGTTTTTCCCCGTTCCGACACTGCATTCAACAGGACAGCAACTAGAACTCGCAGGGATGCCGAGCGATCGGCCATCGAACTTGGAAATTTGGTTTTCGTCGCTCTGCACATCGTGACAAGACTGACTGGCTGGGACGTGACCGGGTTTTCATCAGTTTTCATCGGAGATGCATCCAGCGGTCGGAAGGTCGACTCCGGTAGGTCGCTCAATTGGCCTCTTGCAGTTCGGAAAAAAAAACCGTGGAGCTCCAGCTGCGCTCTCTTTATCTCTGAACATTTCCCAGCGGACAGAACTTATTGTTTCCCCGTAAATCTTCCAGAAAATACTGTATTTCCAACATTCCTGCGCGCCGACGTGAAGGCAACCGAGCCGCATACACCATCCGTCTCCACCAACAGGACCTGCCTCGCAAGAACCTGCGAAAGGCAGGAACCTCCCCTCGCAGCCCCAGCGACCAGATAATCGCGCAGATAATACTTACGAGAAGCGGCAGTTCGCAACGGGAAAAGGCTCCCAGTCATAACAGGACTCCGCCCGGCCAGGGCCAACGCACGGGACTAGAAATGCCACCGGGTCTCGTGACCTTGGACACCAAAACGTCCCCCCCCCCCCCCCCCCCCTCCCGCCTACGGACGCCCTCATCACCCCTTCGCAGGTTGGTTATGAGTCCGTTAGCGGATCGGCAGGCTTTCGGTCGTTGCTCAGAGATTATTTATTCTTTTTTATTATTTTTTTTTTTCGCCGATCATTTAAATAAAGACGGAGCCCGACACGATGATGTGGAAGTTGCCCCCGATGTCCACGCGGGACCCGCGGACCCGGATGCTCAGGTCCCCGCCCCGCTTCGAGACCTGGTACGCGCGCATCGCCAGCTTCCCGTGCAGCTTCTCGCACCAGTACGGCGCCAGTACCGTGTGAGGAGAGCCTGAAAAGAAAAAAAAACACGACCGAATTTTTTCCAATTCAGAAGCGGAATAATTTCGAATAATAATATTTAAAAAAAAAAACACCTGAAATTATTTGAGCCATAACTTGGGAAATTACGGCCAGATGGCCTTTTTTCACTCGAAAGAGGAGACTAATAATAATAAATAATAAAAATAAATAATAGCTGACTCATACCCGCTTGACGGGTCGAGGAACAGTAATTGGTAATTACCATTGAAAATCACCATTGGTAATTTTCAGGTACTTGTCAGATGGCACTGAAGTCGCGAAAGCTCGGGAAATTTGGTATATATCTTTTACGTGGTTAAATAATACTAATAATAAATTATACGTCGGTGCACCACTAAAGGGTAATTTATATGTTTATTTAACCTCGGAATTTTTTTCGTCATCCCTTTCCATCTGGAGGTCTTGATATTCTGCCCTTTGACTGGAGTTAAACCCGAGCGATTTATTCACAAGGAAAGGGAAAAATGTACAGGGTGCCCACAAAAAAAAATCTCACAATTTTAATGCCAATGTGCGCCTTCTCTTGCACGGACACCATCGCACTAAATCTAAGGCTGCATGGGTATGCCTATTAAGCAGTCTGTAATTTACAATTTTAGTATTAAAATTGTAATATTATTTTGTAATAATATTACAATTATTATTATTATTGTAATACTCCCTCAATAAGATAAGTAGGACTCGGATGCTACCAAAAAGTGTTCACATTTACACCTTTCCAGGATTAAAAAGGAAAAAAAGGCAACGACGAGAGTGATACACCACTCGCAAGGCCGTGGAATGTAAAGTTCCCTTTTAGACCACTAGATGGTGCCACGGAGCCACCCTTTCCCCAGTGCACAGGATAACCCTTCCCTCCTTCCCAGGAACCTCCCCCACAACACAAGTCACGTGACCTCCTCGTGCACCCGGCCTTCCCTCATTCGCATCCCCGCATCCGAGACAGATCCCCGGACCCCAAACGAAAAACTGAGCTTCCAAAGTGGCCACGGGCGATCGGCTGTCCTCATCCGGATGCGCATGGGATGCCATCATTCGAGCTGAGTTTTCCTACGTGGAGCACTCAATTAGTTCTTTTTCGTTGAATGAAGGTTTTATGGAATGGCGATACGAGGATCCGATCATGGAATTTTTTTTTTCTTCTAATCTCCCAGCTTAGGTCGCAACCAGTGCCTTCAATCAATATACAGCTAGTGTGATTATGCATTACTGTATAATAATGTATCACGCATTACTGCATAATGCATGATTTCATTTAGATTTCGACATTACGAACGAAACCATGCGTCAGTCCTTCTTTGGGCATCCGCGGGACGTCCAGCAAAGGACAACTTCTTATGGACTTCCATTGGATGTCCTTCGAAGGAATCCCCGCCCCGTTGAGGCCTCTCATCTGGCCTGACATCTAGCGGTTCATTCGGGAAACATAAAGTTCCCATAACATAAGTGAGGTCGCGCTCACCCCGCCGCTACATGTTTCCCGATTCCTTAAACGCTAACGAATCGTTCTGCGGAAGTTTTCATCCTCTACTTGATCATTTCCACGTGCAAGCCTGAGGAAGGAAGTCATTCTAATGAATTCCTTCGTCGAGAGACGTAACATGGCTCGAGGAGACTCTCGGCAATTCTTGCACGTTGCTATTGGCCACCTGAACAAAAATAGGGCAAGGACTCCAGTCCTTCTGCAATCTAAATTGCTCGCTCGACCCATGTAAGTGCTGCCAAAACGACCATCTTTCAGATGTGGCCATCTCGGTTTACCAACGTTGTTCTCGTCCACGGTCTAATCCGTGGTCTAATCCGTGGTCTAATCCACGGTCTCGTCCCTGTCCCCGGCCGATTCCGTCGCCTGAACCACCAGGTGACCGTGTTCATTAGTTGCACGGAGTGCCATTCCTCGAAATTACTTCAGATTTCGCGCGAGCATCATTATTAGCTCATTTCGCCCGCAGCCAATTCTAGTACCGGAAACGAACCATCCACTCTCTCTGCCGAGAATGAAGACCCGAAACGCCGACGCAGTGCATCCGCATCGACATCTGCGACCTCCCAACCGGGAAGGAGGGAATGCCAGCCCGCGAACGGCCGTATCTCCCGCGCCGATCGCGGAAGAATAACTTTCCGCCGCGAACTCGCAGACCGGAGAAAGAGCGACGGCGAACTCCCGCGAACATCGGCGGTTTCCGGGGGGTTTATATGCTGGAATACCCCCGAATGAAAACCGATTGTCCTAGATGGCAGGCAGGAGATATATAAAATAAAATTCTGGAAATGACAAGTACCTGAAAAGTACTGATAACGACGCTCTTCGCAAAGCGTGATTTTTCGGGTTCTCTTCTCTTCAATGAAATTTCCAACGAAATCGGGCAATAAGAGTGAAAGTTCAAGTTTTTCTTTTAAAAAAAATTAGGCTCCGCTCCGAAAATAAATGAAAAAAAATTCATATCTTGAAATCTAATATTCGTAAGAACGCGAAATTTTCCTCGA